TCTTTTTGTTTGTGTAGAACAGTTTTGGATCAACTGTAACTAGAGGTATAGTCTACTCCATTCATGCTTACTGAAAAAGAGAACAGCAGGTGTCTGATTACTGGGCTCTTCTCATAGAGGCTGGTTGGTTGGATTTTCTAGAGATCTTAAAGCAACTGAGACATGGAGTTACAAAGGAGGATTCAAAGAAAATTCCTAAGTGCTGTCAGAACTCACAGGACATGGACAGCTCCACCATTCTACTACTTTGAAATTTTGATCTTCTCTGTTTCAACATAATGATTTTAAAAGGACTTTGTTAATTTCCCAAGTCAGAGCATCAGGAATGGCATGAGAATAAGACCAGTGGCTGACATTTCCATGGAAATCATGATATACAGGAAACACTCGCACATTTGATGTGTATACTGCATCTTTCACACCCAGGGTCTCTCTGACATTGGCACACAACTGCTCACATATTTTAGAGACTGTGACTGCAGCTCACCTCAGAATTTTCATGAGTGCCTTTATGTATGTTTGTGTGTGCATGTGCATGTGTGTGCACAATCTAACTGTGGGTGAAACCTGAAACATCATTAATTATGAGTTCAAGTGTACCAGCATTTTAGGTGTAATTATGACTCTAATATTTACTCTGGCAATAAATGGTAAAGAGAATGGCTAAATGAAATAACTTTTTGAGTTTCTAGTGCATGGACACTCTTTCTTCAGAAAAGCCTCATTACTTTTTGTGACAACTTCCCCATTCAGGTTTACTAAAAATACAGATCTAGAACATTCTTGACAATGAAGATGATACAAATCAAAACCATGTTAGGCATTGCTCAGATGAATGGATATAAGAAGTAATACAAAAGGAAATATTTTCTATAATGGATGGAATTTTACTGTAGAGTAAAACTTACATCTGATAGAGGTTCACAGTGGAAAATGTAAGCTGTCCACACTTTGAGGATTAGAAAATGTGTAAGTGTACGAAGTTTCTGGATGGCATGAGAGAGAACTGAATTTCTATTCAGTTGATGATAAATTGGGATGCATCTGTGCACATTTGTGTTTATGTTCCTTTTCTGGATGTAGAAGGCAATATGTAACAGAGGATTTTCTTGTTTTCTCTTTAGACAGCTACTATTTGGTCCTACACTACATAATATGAATAAAGATCATACACTGAACTGTAGCGCTTACATCAGAAATGCCTTTTTCTCTGAGTTAGGCATTGGGATCTCAGCCAACAGCTGCCTTCTCCTCTTCCACACCTTCATGTTCATTCGTGGGCACAGGCCAAGACTCACTGACTTACCCATTGGACTAATGGCCCTCATACACCTAGTGATGCTGTTACTTGCAGCATATATAACTGAAGACTTTTTTGGGTCTTCAGGACGATGGGATGACATCACCTGTAAACTACTCATTTTCTTTCACAGGTTTTTCAGGAGCCTTTCTGTTTGTGCCACCTGTCTTTTAAGTGTCTTCCAGGCCATCATCCTCTGCCCTCAAAGCTCTCACTTAGCTAAGTTCAAACACAATTCCTCACATCAGCTCTCGTGTTTCTTTATTTTACTGAGTATCTTCTACACATCCATCAGCAGCCATATTTTAATAGCAGTTATTGCCACACGAAATCTCACCTCAGTTAATCTTATACATATCACGAAATCTTGTTCTTTTATACCCATGAGATCCTTAATGCAGCACACCTTCTCCACACTGCTGGTTTTCAGGAATGTCTTTCTTATTGGTCTCATGAGCCTCTCAACTTTCTACATGGCTACTCTCTTGTACAGGCATAAGACTCGGTGCCAGCATCTTCAGAACTCAAACCTTTCTCCAAAAGCAACTCCAGAGCACAGAGCCCTCCAGTCCATTCTAATGCTTCTGAGCTTCTTCTTGGTGATGTCAACTTTTGATAGTATCATATCCTACTCAAGAACTGTATTCCAGGAAAATCCATCACTGTATTGTGTCCAGATCCTTGTAGCCCATAGCTATGCTGCGGTTAGTCCTCTGCTGGTTCTCAGTAATGAAAGACGTGTAGCTAACCTGTTGATATCCAAGTATGAGAGTATAGTAAAATTTGAATTTTTGAGATGGTACATTTTCCTCCGATGAACCAATGTACTATCATCAGAGCTTTGAAATTTGGAGTAATGTGCATGGTTTGAGGTTAAGTGAAAAGGTAGACTTGTGTCTGTTCTATTTAACTCGTGTACCTTTCTATAACTGTAGGGATGGCAGATTTATATTTAAAAACTCAAACCATACACATTGAATGATTTGAAAAGTTTTCCATTGACTTTCTTCAGGAAAACCTGAAAGGTGATCTTTATTGTCACTGCCTTGCTGTTTTACACTTCTCTAAATCTGTGATGTATAATGACATTTCTCAATACCTGAACTGCCCCATTATCTATTCTTAGTGTATATAATAAAACACACGTGTTTGCACACATATATCATTTATGTTCAGGGATTAAAACATCATATATACCAAAAATGAGTATTACAGATTCTTAACATTGCAAGATACAAACTACTAGCTAGAACTGTCCAAATATTGGAACACAATTGGAGCTTCCACATGAGCTAGCTATTATTTAGTATTCAGAACTGAGGATACTGTATCACATGAACCAATGCTAATGAGGCCTGAAACTACTCTGCAAAGTGAAATTTCAGTCACATGAGAGATATTGTATGAATCTTCATATGGAGGGAAGGAACTGAAGGACCCAACATGAGTGAAACACAGCATGGTGTTCTAGATACTCAAGAACTAGGCATTGTGTAAAGTTTTACTGATGGAGTTGGAGTGTCAGTTCAGGAAGGGAGTGCTGTAGATCCATTACTTTTTTATCAGTCTAAGATCATTTGATAAAGCTACCATGAATTAAACCAGGCAAGTTGGACGGTCTGAAGGAAAGTTAAACTGTACTAATTTTCATTTAGAGCCAACAGAATTTGTATACCTTTATCAGAGACAGAATATAATGGTTATTGTGGGGATCAATACAATTGTAGTTGCCAGGGTACTATGACATTTGCAGGCTATACATGTTATACAACATTAATGTCTAAGACCAATTGTCCTGAAGGCTTTCATGTCTTCTTGACTACTAAGGAAATGGATGCCTCAGTATTTCATTATCTGAGAGAGTGTGTAAGTCTCTCAGACCCTTGGAAGGCAGATAGCTCCCCAAGATCCATGGACTCTACCCTGAAAAGCTTATAAAAATGTTCTTCAAGGAAGCTAGGCCAGGCATACTACATGATTCTCCACAATAAACACACACACACACACACACACACACACACACACACACACACACAGCATAGCTTAAGTAATATTTAGGCCATGCTAAATGTATTTATCTCTAATATATTTCACTTCCTTATGATGAAAATTTTCAAAGAATTTCTTCTTGCTATTTGAAATCTCATAAGTTATTGTTGCCTCCAGTCACTGTATTCTGCAGAGCATACTAGAGATTGATTTCTTTCTGATATTTTCCCTCTTATTAAAAATAGATTTTCTCACATGATACACCCTAATCACAGCTCATCCTCACTTTATTCTTCCCAGATCCTCCCAATATCTCCTTCTATTCATATCCGTTCTTTCTCACATTAGAAAAAATCAGCTTTCTATAAGGTAATAATGAAACATAGCAAAACAATATATAAAAAGATAAAACAAAAAACATCACAATCAATTTGGATACACCTAGGCAGCAGAAGGAGAGTGGCCCAAAAGAAGGTACTAGAATGAGGGACTGGTCATTCACACCTCAAGAGTCCCATAGAGACACTAAACTAAAAGCTATATTGTTTATGCAGAGGACTTGGTGCAGACCCATGCAGGTCCTGTGCTTGCTGCATCAGTCCATATGAGTTCATAGGAGCTTTGCTCAGTTGATTTAAAAATCTTGTTCTCTGACTGTCCTCCATTTCCTTTCTTCTTCCATTCTTTCTGCCTTGTCCTTGAAGGGGTTCTCTGAATTCTGAAGAGAGAGTTTTGATGGAGACATCCCACTTAAAGCTCTGTGTTCCTAAGGACTGTCTCTCTCTGTCTCTGTCTGTCTCTGTCTCTGTCTTGTCTCTCTCTGCCTGCCTCTGCCTCTGTCTCTCTCTCTGTCTCTCTCTTTCTCTCTCTCTTCACCTCTGCATTATATCTGGCTGTGTGTCTCTATATTTGTTCCCAGCTCCTGCAGGTTGAATTCTCTCAGGATGTCTGAATACAGAATTCATCTAGGAGTACAGAAGAATATAATTGAGACATTTTATCATTACATTTTTTAAGACTAGCAGTATTTTGCCCTCTACTACTGGTTTATCTAGTTTCTGGTTCTTGCTCAGCCAAACAGTGTTGGGTATAGGGTCCATCTCATGGAATGGGCCTTAAGTCAAATCACACACTGGTTGGCTCCCCCTACAATTTTTGTGCCAGCATTTCTCTAGGTCATTTTGCTGGTAGGATAGAATTAGAGATCAAAGGCTGTGTGGTTGGCTTGGTGTTTACCTTATCTTTTAGTAACCTGAAGTGCATCTTCTCATATGAAAGACACACAAATGTAGGGTGAAGTTTCTCCATAGGCGCTAGCTCAATCTCTCCATGTTCAATACATTTTGTGGGTGTTGTCTTCAGTAAATGGGCTTTGCTGTCATTTTGTGGACAGCAACCCCTTGTCTTGGTAACTGTCTGTATTCTTTTGTGATTTCCATGGGACCATGAAAGAGAAGAACAACTTAGGGGCTTCGTTAACTTCAGCACAATTGCAAGGACACTCCAACACACGCACACACACACACATGCTCCTCCAGAGATAGATAGATAGATAGATAGATAGATAGATAGATAGATAGATAGACAGAGTCAGAGACAGAGACAGAGAGACAGAGAGACAAAGATATAATATCAAACCTGCTAAGTTTACTGTAGCCATCCAGCAGCCATGAATGAACTGGTTTTACATGAAAGAGGGGCTGGAAATATAAAAGAGTTGGGGGGTGGGGGAGGGACAGGAGAAGCATGGAGCCAGGACAAGGTTCTGATCAAAGCCCAAAGTTTAATCTTCAGCACTGAGAATATAGAGGAAGCCTACTGGTCCCATGCTTTGTTTCAGCTGGACTATGTTGCAAGGCAAGCTCAGCAGGCAGTCTATTCTTCTAAGATCCTGTGGGAAGTTGTATGTGCAGCCAGGGCTAATGACTACACCTAGGTCATTAATGTGCTTTGACCTCAAGTGTAATATCATAAAAAGTGTGGTCTTGCAGTATTCTGATTGGTTTGAAAGATGAATTGAATGCAAAGCTCTAACTCACATGTATTTTTTCTGTATCAATTACAGTATCATTCATCATTCAATAACTCAAAAGGACAATTTTAAGAGATGTTACACATCAAAACACCACTCACATCATGAGCAGTGATGTCATAGGTCATGCTTTGATCCCATAACTGAGGCTCTAGGATTCCTTAAAGAAATAATGTGAGCACTGCATGATGTAAGCAGAGTATCTGGAGAAAGATTGAGACTCACCCTCTCTACATCCTGAGGTGGTCAAAGATGCTGATAACTGTCTCTATGCTAACAGACTATGTGTCCTGACTAAAAATCGAGAATATCTGCACAGGCTTAAACTTTTAAGAATATGGATAGAAATGAATAAACTTATCAGAAAAGTGTAAAACCATGAATAGAGCCAAATGTGTTAGCACATGCCCTTAATGCCAGTACTTGATTTGGAGAAAGGGGTAGAGGCAAGCAGAGCTCTGTGACTTCAAGACTAGCCTAGTGTATATAGTGAGTTCTAGACCACCTAGGGTTACATGGTTGCCAGGAGCCAAAACCATGAAATTATCTGTTGTTCTGGAAATCCTAGTCAGTTAAAGTACAAGGTTAAGAAAGAATGTTCATGGTTTCAGGTCCCACAAACAAAAACAAAGTCTAGTGTTTCCCAAGAAGCCAGTTATGATAGTGGGTTGGTCTTAGGCAATGAGGATATGATAATGGGATGGCCTTAAGCCAAATACCATAATCCTGACTGGCCACCCCTGCACTCCTTTTTGCCCAGACCATCTCCTTATGCTACTGCTCCCCCATTTTGCACCCTGTTCTTGACTTAGACATCTCACACTCTACAGAAAAAGCAAAAGCCAAACTCTGGCTTCCCTTAAGAATTGTTACATAAGAGAAAGGAACATTTACCTTTGATAAAAGAACTTCCGGATCTTGACCTTGAATTAACCCATTCTCCCCACCCACGCTTACTTCCCTCAAGATAAAAATAAAACAGAAACCTCAGAAAACTCTACAGGCTTTCTCTGTTAAGAAAATTAAGTTATCTACCCCCTCTGAAGGGACAAGTAGAGAAGGCAACTTGTCTAATGATGAGGAGAATAACCCTTCTGGTGACAAAGCCTCTTAAAATGAAAATGAGGCTTTGGGAGATTCAGAGGAATTAAAAAGAAGAGGTTAAAGATCAACGATATAGCCATCTAGGGTATAAATATATAAAAGATCTAAAAATGGCATTGACATTTATGGCCCTACAGCCCCCTTTACCATAACCTTAAATGAAAATTTGTCTGATTGGTGACTTATCCCCAATGATTGGTATTTTCTGGCTCATGCCACCCTGACAGGAGGTGATTATGTTCTTTGGAAGACCAATTTTGTTGAAAACTGCAGAGAAAAAAAAAAAGAAAACTGCAGAGAAATAGCACTTTGCAATTCTGACAGTAAAACCTCGAAGAAGTGGACCAAAGATAAACTTTTGGGATGGAGCCCTTATGATACTAAAGAAAATCAGGCTCGGTTCCTTCCTGGCCTTCTAGCCCAAATTCAAAATGCAGGTCTTAAGGCCTGGAAATGACTCCCTCCCAAGGGGTCAGTTACCACTTTTCTAGCCAAAGTCCACCAGGGTCCCAACCAGCCCTATAGAAGCTTCATCAGCCACCTTACCTACACAGCAGCGGAAAATCTTGTCTGCTGCAATAAAAATGAAAGCACCTTTCTCAAACACCTCACATTCAAGAATGCAAAATCTGCATGTCAGGTCGCCATATGGCCCCACCTTAGTGGTGGCAAAATTTCTGATTATATAAAACT